CCCCCCACCCCCAAAAAAAATATTTAAGTTTGTTTTTAAAAAATATTTTCAATTTCAAAAATTATTTTCTACTCTAGTAAAAATAAAAGATATTTCTCAAAAATATTTTTCATTCATAAATCAAACACTAAAAATCTTTTTCGGAAAATATTTTCTAATCACCAACCAAACATGAGAAAATAAGTCAAAAATCAACTTGTTTTCTAAGGAAAACATTTTCTAGGAAAACATTTTCCTTCATACCAAACACACCCTTAATTTGCTTCTAACAAAACTTGGATTTCCCATCTTTTAAGTTAATTATGAGATAACTTAGCTTGATCATCGGGCAAAAACACCATTATTACCTAGTAAAAAAACATACTTTTACCATACGAATATTTGTATGAGTGATATATTAAAAGAGAATCTTGACGTAATTGTAGGTCATGTTTAATTTACTGAAATGTAAGATAAGATTGTGAACATAAGATTCAGTGTGGTTTGATCCTTCTTGAACCTCGCACATTATTAGATTTATTTAACTTCATACTTTATAAGTTGAATTCATAAAATTCAAATTTTGAATCTGTCCTTTGCTCGAAAATTTATTTGCGTGAGTTACATATCTGTATCGACAAACTTGTTAGTATAATTCCCTTTATTTCTCCGTTGTTTATTTGAGTGTTTGATAATTAAAGCCGTCAAATAAAAGCCGTACTCAAACATTTGTACACAAAGTCATACTATTTGACTGATTATTTATTTATTGCGCACATGAAATATCCGTTGGTTTTCATGCACATAATTTCTTTATAAACTTTGAAGCAAGCATGCTTATTAACCAAAACAAATGCCTTATTGTATTTCCTCCGCTCATATTTATTTGTTCACTATATTAAAAATAGTTTTCTAACACATTTGTTCAGTTTGAAAAATCAAGAGATACTTTATCATTTTGTGTCTATTTTACCCTTGGTATTAAATACTATTCAATATCTAATATATTTTCCAAAGCATTAAAATTAATATATTCAAAGGGTAATATAGTAATACTACCCCTTTATTTATTGTTAAGGTGTGTGCTAAGTCAATAGATAGTTGCGCCAAAGCTTCACTCCAGGTCGAACTCACTTCCATATACAATTCCACTTTTATGGGAGTTTAATTACGCCCTTTCTCGACCCTATCGAGCTCTTCCCGGACCTCCGTCTCTCTTCAACGAAGTCATTAAAGTGAGGCAACTCGTATTCGCTAACTAACTTAGGGAACTTAGGGGACAACTATTGTTGGATATATAGAGGGAGTAATATAGATGTAGTACATATATATAATACTCCCTTTGTTCTAATTGATGTGGCACCTTTCGAATTTTGAGATTCAAACAAATGTTTCTTTGATCGGAATATTATCATATATCTTTTTAAAATATTGAATTATTAAATTATTGTGACTTATAGTACTTTTAAAATAGTTTTCAAATATATAAAGTTTATTTAATTTAATAAATTTAAAGAATATGTCTAAATTCATAGTCAAAATTAAATAGTTTGACTCTCAAAATTCGAACGATATCACATAAATCAGTACATAGATGGAGTATTATTATATCTACGTACGACTTACACTTTTAGATTCATTCAAGCATTTCTCCAATCATTGCCTCAATTACAAACAATAAATTCAAACAAGACATCTCAAATACCTCAATTTTCTAAACTCTATAAATACCATAATCATTTATCTCTTTTTTCCAACACCAAAGTATATAAAATCTATCATTTCTATTACCAAAAAAAAGAAAATCCATTTTTACTCAACATTATGACTAAGCTTATAGTAACACCTTTCATTATTTTCCTCCTCTCTTCTATACTTATATTCATAAAATCATCAAATGCATCAACAACCTACAATGTATTAACCTTTGGTGCAAAACCAAATGGCCAAATTGATGCAACTCAGCCATTTCTAAATGCATGGGGAGCTGCATGCACCTCAGTCGAACCAACGACGATTTACGTTCCGAAGGGACGTTATTTAATAAAAGAAGCAACATTTAGAGGTCCATGTAAAAATAAAATTATTGTTAAGATTGATGGAACTCTTGTTGCACCATTGGATTATTGGGACATTGGCAACTCTGGCTACTGGATTTTGTTTATTAAGGTTAATGGGATTTCAGTTATTGGTGGAAATATTGATGCTAAAGGAGATGGTTTTTGGGCTTGTAGGAAGTCAGGCAACAATAATTGTCCAGTTGGAGCTAGGGTATGTACATGTTTCTTGTTAATAACTCATGAATATTAGTAATAAGACTAAATAAATTATATATGTATGTGTGCAAAGTACTAAAAGTGTCATTTTAAATGAGTGGTGATGAGAGTTTTACGTGCATCAGCGTCCAAACAATAGTCATGTAAGAAAAGGTAAAATAAGGATGGTAAGATTAAGTAATTTGCAAAAGAGAATGAATGTGACAATAAATTTTAGTTCATACCAAAAGAATGTCTCTTTTTTTTTTTGGCAACTTTTAAATTCAACTTTTCACATGAGAATTAAAAGACAATTTGTTATATTTTGCATATTTTTAGTTTAAAATAAGAGTAAGATTCAAAAGGTGTTTTTATTTTTTTAAAATTCGTGTTAAATCAAAATCAGACAAACAAATTAAAACAAATAAAGTATTACAAATTAAAATAGTAACTTATTCTTCATTATGGATAATCTTCCATTCATGAAAAATCATTATTTTTTGTTTGGACTAGGAGTTGTAGGTGTGGGGATGGTAGAAGAAGAAATATCAATCCTTCATGTTGTAGTTTTAATTAAAAGAAAAAATACTAAGGTTTTTTCATTTTCAAAAGACACATACACACATACACATTGTACCTCTTAGATTAAATATCTCAATCCATTTTAATATATGACAAGTACCATGTCGTAAGCAACAACATATAAAACACTAGACATAGGAATTTGTTTCAGCATGGGTTCAATGCATTTTTTTTTCTCAATTATGTGATATTGTTAAAATTTTTGGAGAGTCATTCAAATTTTTATATGTATTTTAATTATTTTAAGTAGTTACGTATTGTGATTTATAATACTTTTTACATTATTTTCAAATAATATATATTTCTCCCTATGTCCCAAGGCACAAATATAATTTCAAGAGTCAATCAAATTTTTTATGTCTTTCAAATATTTCAAGTTATTAATTATAGTGATTTATAGTGCTTTTTACATCATTTTCAAATGATATATATTACTTCTTCTTTCCTAATTTTCCGTGGCACCAATAGAATTTCAAAGTCAAACAAATTTTTTTATATGTCTTTTGAATATTTTAAGTTGTTAATTGTCATAATTTATAACATTTTTTACATAACTTTCAAATTTACCAAAAGACAAATCGGAGAAAGTATAGAAATTACATAAATACCCTCAACTAAAAGTAGGCATACTGTCTGATTCTAGATTCTTCTATATAGTAATAAAGTAAAGTAATAAAACTATAGAAATTACATAAATATTCTTAACTAGAAGTTGGCATATCAACGAAGAGATGTCTGATTCTAAATTCTTCTATATAGTAGTAAAGTAAAGTAATAAAAGATGAAATATTACATTGTCCTAATTATTTCTCTATGTGGAAAATGCAGTCTATAACCTTCAATTGGGCTAATGATGTTGTGATAAGTGGCTTACTATCAATCAACAGCCAGGTAACACACCTTGTTATCAATAGTTGCAACAATGTAATGGTTAAAAATGTAAAAATAATAGCCCCAGACCAAAGCCCAAACACAGATGGCATTCATGTTCAATCATCAACAAATGTTACTATCATTGGTTGTAGAATCAAAACTGGAGATGATTGTATATCTATTGGTCCTGGTACAACAAATCTTTGGATGGAGAAAATTTTATGTGGACCTGGACATGGTGTTAGGTAAGTAATGCTATAACTATCATGACAATATATGTATAAATTTAAGTATATGCGCGACCATTCCATCTAAAATGTTAAATTGTCAAAGAGATCATAACGTTGTACGCATACCTCCTTCATGTGCGGATTTAATTATTTTTTTAAATAGGGAAGCATTTTTTTTATAGCTAATGCATGTTTATATACTTTACTTGTCACTTTTAACATATTAAGAAAAACAAATATTATTATTTTCATATCCTTAACATTAGTTACTTATTCTTCGTATCATTTACTAATATCTAAGACTATATAGACCAATTAGCATGTACATGGGTATGATGGTAAAACAAATACTTCATTTTTTTTTTATTTGGGGGTCGGAGAAGGGGAAATTAATGGGGAGAAGATTATAATGTGGGAAATCGAACCTTCACCAATAAGGTAGGAGTTCATATAGTCAACCAACTGAACTACTAAGATTCTCCAATAAATACTTCATTTATTCACAGTGGACAAGTAGAAGTGAACAAGGGGAATAATTCATAGTTCATTTTTGTAGTTTCACCTTTCTCCTCCCCCAAATTTATTTATTTATATTTTAAAAAAAGGTCAGTACATTCAATATATGTGCACTACAAAAGTTGCTTATCAAAGTATATAGGCTATAATATTACTTAATTAGACATACAATTTTATTTATGTGACATTTTATTGTTTGTGTTGCAGCATTGGAAGTCTAGGAAGGGAATATGAAGAAGATGGGGTGCAAAATGTGACATTATCTTATTCTATATTCACAGGATCTGATAATGGATTAAGAATAAAATCTTGGGCTAGACCTAGCACAAGTTTTGTTAAAAATATTAATTATCGTAATATAGTCATGAAGTACGTTGATAATCCAATCATTATTGATCAGAATTATTGCCCAAACAGCCAAGATTGTCCACAACAGGTAACACTTGAATCAGAATCATATTTAAACAAATTAATGTTTGCATTTTTCACATCTATAAAAAAAAAAAAAAAAAAAAAACTTAGAAAAAGGAAAATACAAAAAGTAGAAGAGAGGATGTAGATCAAAGTTATTGATAAATGAACATATTCTCAATTGTTTTTATAGTTGATGTATTATATTTACAAAATAGACATGTGAAATTCTTGATTTTGCTAGAATTTGGTTTTCTACTACTTAGTCCTTAGAAGTATTGATCATCAAAGGAATGATTTTTTATTTGTGTTACTCTTATATATCTAATGGTCGAGGGTCTGTCAGAAACAACATATTAACCTCCTCAAGGTAGTGGTAAGGTCTGCGTACACTTTACCCCTCCTCATACCTCATTTAGTGAAATTTCACTAAACTGGAAATGAGATCTCTTGGCCACTTGGACAGAGCCACTTTAGGCTTACGGTGGTCCGATGCACACTCTTAGCCGGAAAATAATGTAACGTGCAGTTGTTAAATGTTAGTTACTATGAGTACATATTTAATTTTGCACACCCAATTAATACAACTGAGAAGAAAATTTGTACACGCTTCACCACATTCTTGGCTCCGCCACTACTTGGCCTCTTATAAATTGAACAGAAGAAAATAATCTTTATAGATCTCTTATACGTAAAAACGACGATCGTGTTTCTTATAGAGGAAATAATGAATGTAATCTTATGTTTTGTGGTTATATTTCAGACTTCTGGTGTGAAGATTAGTGAAGTAACATACAAAAATATAGAAGGGACATCAACAACTGAAGTTGCTATGAATTTCGACTGCAGCCCAAGCAATCCATGCCAAGGAATTCAGTTACAAGACATAAAGCTCACTTATATGAACAAAAAAGCAAAATCATTTTGCAACAACATTCAAGGAACTAAAAAAGGAGTCATTTTGCCTGATACTTGTATATGAATATAATTATAATTATATTTTTCATGACCATGTATAATTATTTCTTTATATATCAACTCATCAATTTATTTTCATGGTCCTAGTTTATGTGATATTGTTTGACTTGACACAAAATTTAACAAAAAAATATAGTATTTTAAAATTTGTGATCCAAACAAGTCATAGATGTTTGTATAATTATAAATTATTTTATCAAGAATAAATAAATATTTTAAAAATTAAATTATTAGTAAATATAGTAATATGTCATTCTTGTTAGGTTATCATACAATAGGTAAAGTTGAGAAAGGATCTAATCCACTACTATTTTGTTCATTACTTTACAATGATGTAGTAAATATAAGTCACGTGTACAAATGAATATGACATATCAAGATCATTTTTCCTGTAATTAAGTATTCAAAAAATAATATTCTTATACTAAATAATATTAAATCCAAAGTATTATATCTATTAATACTCTTTCGGAATATTTAGTTAACATTTTTAAATTATTCTAAAAAGTAAACATAAACAAAATTTGGCGAAATTTCTGGATTCACGAAATTGATTTCGTTGTTCACATATTCACATAAAAAGGTAAAATTACAGAAATCTCACATTTTAGTTCACTTATTACCATTATCCCCTATTAGTTTTACAAATCTCCAAAATCCCTCATTTTTCTCTTAAGTCAAAAATCGTGGATACAAAATTTTCTATGCTAAAAAACAGAGTTCATCCCTTCCTTCTTTCTCTCCTTAATCTTCTCCCCCATTATCTTGACAGTTAATTTCTCCAATAGTTTTCAAAATCAAGTCTCTCTCTGTCCATACTCTAGTTAATTTCGGTACTTCTCTTGAAATCCTCTTTTGTTTGTTCTTCTATTGATGGATGATGCTAACATTAATCGGATATATGACTACGAAGATATTGGTTGGACGGAGAACAGATCTAAAAGGTTCCACGATCCATTGTTAATGGCGAATGTAAAAGAGATGGGAAGAAGAAAAAGGATCGTGCTTCATCTTCGAAAACTCAGGTTCCTAAAATCCCAAAAAAAGGGGTCGAAAATAATTTGCTCCTGCAATTTCTCGACCTTCATTACCTGAGGTTAGGTTTTAGTTCTTCTTCTTTCAAATGTTGTAATTTTTTTGTTAGTTAATCAATTGATGATACAAAAATGAACAAATTCAAATCTCGTATTTAGTGTATCATTATTCTCTGTGATCAATTGATACACTAACCCTAAGTAAGTCAAGTTATAATGTATTTTGTTTCAAGTATTATAACATGCATCTTTCAGTAGATCTCAGTCATTAATGTATCATCCAAATTTTGTTTATGGGTCCGTATGTGTATCTGGTATTTGAAGTTTCATAGTAAATATTGTATCAGTTACATATAAGATACATTATTTACAAATAGTTAATAAGTTCATGATTCAAAATTTTAACAAAATACATCAGATTAGTATATCATGTATAAAATGTTGGCCATTAATGTATCTTACTTAACAAGGTGTAAAATTTTGAATCATCTATTAACAGGTTGTTTATGGGTCTGTATGTGTATCTGGTATTTGAAGTTTCATAATAAATGTTGTATCAGTTACATATAAGATACATTATTTACAAATAGTTAATAAGTTCATGATTCAAAATTTTAACAAAATACATCAAATTAGTGTATCATGTATAAAATGTTGGCCATTAATTTATCTTACTTAACAAGGTGTTATATTTTGTATCATCTACTAACAGGTGTGATTTAAGGGATTTGATTTTCCATTTTAATTTTCCATTAAAAGCGCAACAAAAAAATATATAACCTTTAATTAATAATGTATCCGACCCTCTTTTTAATGTATCAGTGCTTATATTATTGTATCTGTTTTTTTTAAATTTTTGAGGGATTTTTGTAATTATAAACTTTTAAGGGATAGATTGTAATTTTGCCTTAAAAGTATGTGATTTCTGTAATTTGCCCTAAACATATTGGAAAAAAAAACATACACAACTTTGAAAAAAAATAAAAAATCTGGAAGGACTATTAACAAAACGATTCAGGCCTCACGGTTAAAATAAAATAAGAAAAAAATTACCTAATACACAACTTATTTTATCTTCTTTTTTTTTAATCACATCCTCTAAAATTCCCTACCATTTGAAAAAATTACAAACATCTCTATTTTCTCACTTTCTCTCATATTATCGGATACATCACTCTTACATGATGTATCAAACACGTGTGTTTTGTATCAACAAAGGTAATGTATCGGAACATTGAGCAATGTTTCAAGACAAGTGTGTCTTGTATCAACAAACGTAACGTATCCATACTTTTAGCGGAAAAGGGCCTAAAATACCCTCGAAGTATTGAAAATGGTACACAACTACCCCTCATCCACCTATTGGCTCCCAAATACCCTCCCCATCCACCTATTGGCTCACAAATGCCCTCCTCATCCACCTTTGGGTCCAATTTTAGTCACTTCATTAACGGAGCACCATTTAAAATAATTAAATAATCCTTTTAATTACGTGACACTCAACCATTCGTTGCAATTTAATTATTTAATATAATTTTAAACCCACCCATTTTTAACTAAACCCACCCCAATACTTATTAAACCCGCCCGCTTCAATACAAAAAGAATCCAACTAATAAAAAAGAACCCTAAAACCTTCGTTCCCAAATTTACCCTCCATTTGCACAACTTATTTCCTAAATGATCTTTTTGCAAGATGAATCATACTATTGCATCGCTGATGCAATCACAAGTTCCAATTACCTTAGGTGAAATGATATGAAAAGTAGTTATTTGCTTATGTTCACTATGGGATAAGAAGTAGAGTACAGTACTACAGAAAACCTAAACCAAAAAGGAAACAAAATAGTGAAGGGAATTTAGCTACATAATTGGAATGCTATGTTCCTTTCCATTTTAAGAATTATAAAACATGTTATTTTCCAGTTTTAAGGTCTTCATCTTTTCAAAAGCTGAATATGTTTTTTGGATAAATTTATCAAAGAATGTTTTAGGGGATAAAATCTTATTTATTTTATCAATAGAATAAACTCACCAAATGCAAAATTGTTGGGTTTGATCCAAAATTGTTAGGAAATAAGTTGAGGAAATGGAGTGTAAATTTGGGAACGAAGGTTTTAGGGTTCTTTTTTATTAGTTGAGTTCTTTTTGTATTGGGGCGGGGGTTTTAGTTAAAAATGGGTGGGTAATGAATGGGTTTAAAATTAAATTAAATAATCAAATTGCAACCAATGGATGAGCGCCACATAATTAAAAGGATTATTTAACTATTTTAAATGGTGCTCCGTTAATGAAGTGGCTAAAATTGGACCCAAAGGTGGATGGGGAGGGTATTTGTGAGCCAATAGGTGGATGGAGAGGGTATTTGGGAGCCAATAGGTGGATGAGGGATAGTTGTGTACCATATTCAATACTTCGAGAATATTTTAGGCCCTTTTCCGTACTTTTAGTAATGTATCTGAAATCCTTAAATTTCAAGAGAATTTTGTAAAGTACGGATATGATGTAACTAGCTCTTAACACTATGAAATTTGTGTAATTTTTACAAAATATAATCTACCTTAGATTTCAAAAATATTATTTAGTGCAACAATAAATTAATAAACAAAGTATTTTTGCAGAAGTACCAAGAAAAATGATCCTAGCCTCTAATATTCATTTGTACATTTGGCCGACATACACTGCATAATTGTAAAGTAATGGACAGAATAGTAATGGAGAGGCTCCTGTCTTGGATTATTATTTTCTCAACGCAAATTTTACTTCTGCCATCACCACTCGATGCTTCTTCTTCTTCTTTCTTTTTTTCGTGGCATTGCTCAAAGAGTGATGAAGAACACCCACAGAATAAGTAAATCAGAATCTTTTAATGGAACTGCTGGTCGAGCTGCAGAAAGATGAAGGAAATAGCCTTGGAGAAATGCAATTAGATGATCTGCACCATCTAGTTCCGGTAGAAGAGGCTATTCATCTTGATATCGAGCCAAAAACAGAGAATGTAGTTTAGTTAACCTCTAGTTGGTTGAATTATGGAAAGTGGTGATGAGGATCGTTGGAATGAAACTAATTCGCAATCAAAACTTTTGACTTGAGGAAATTATGGCGGTTTCTAGTTAGAGTTAACTTCTCTTCTGCCTCTGCTGCTTTTTCTCGGACACCACGAACAATATCCTCAGGAGCTTTCTCTACAAACTGCACATAGGAACTCTATAAGGTCCACGACATGGAAAAATGGAAATGGAGAAGCAGGACATAATATTGTTAGATTTTAACTATATGCTGTATTGACAGTCAAGGAGAATGTTTTTTTTCTGAGAAATGTTTGGCGTTCTGATGTAATTTTATGTTTGGCGTTCAATTAATTTTATCCAGCAAATAGAGAACTCACACTTGGAGAACTCAAACGAGCCATCAGTCCATCATATTCCGCTTGCAACTTGACAAGGCGCTTAGAGAGACGCTGCACTTCAGCAGAGATGTCCACCATATCTGATAGAGGAAGATAAGCTTCCAGACCTTCACCCGCAACAATGTGGACAGACTGATTTGCATCTCCTGCAATTCTTCTCATATTAAGATAACACTACAAGGAAACAAACATTAAACTAGAATTCTCTAACCCACGCAGGGTTTATCAACCTTTCACATGTGATACCAAAATCAACATACCTGGAGGAGATTCCACAAAATTGACATTTCCCAAATCCAGTCTTGAAAGAAGAGCCAAAACATCTCTTTCTCCCTGCATTAAGTGAAAGCCATGTGTTTAAATCTAGATAGGCATACAAAAAAATTCTAGTAAGAAAAATGCATTTCAATACAGAACAAGATTGAGAACAACAAAAGTGACTAATCTGTTATAATATGGTCACCCTGTGCTAGGCTGACCTCACTGACTCAGGAGGCAGATAATGAACAGCACATCCAGTTAACTTTGTTTCATAAGCAGTAAGCCTCAGTCGAAGCTAAG